GCAAAGTAGCATGTTTTTAAATACTACAGACTACCAACAGAAGGTCCCATCCAATATAAAAGAAAAGCACATCAAGCCTGTGTTAAACATATGTTTGGTATTAATGCACTTATGAACCAATACGGCTTCATAAATGAAATTTCAAAGTTCATCCCATTCCTTTGCGTCAGCAATGACTCAACTATACACTGTGTTTCATTTGAAACGAAGATTTTACTTGATCACCATAACTGATCCACTTAACAACGACATATTCGAATACGAAGCTCTTCTCGAAAATTACAACTGAAACTGGAGTTCGAAGCGCGTCACCAGCGCTGCTTCTGTCACGATTCAAATTATTAGTTTAACTGTTTTTATTAGAATATTTCTTTATTTCATATGTACCTTTTCTACATATACTAACTTACCTGAACTAATTCAACAGCTTAGTAAGACGGGTACATGCTTTGCTATTTTCAAGCAAGTTAGTTGAACAGAGTATAACTTCCAATTGAACTGGTTCCAGAAAATTCAGTTCAATTAAACTAAAAAATCTATTTACTTAGAGTAATTAAAAAACGTATCACAGTTAAAAAAAATTCCAGAACAATTGATTTACCACATTTTCCCAGTGCAGTAGCATATGTTGTATATAAAGTGGTACTTGAAAAGTTTTGCATTTCCGAGCATGTCTCAAAATCATTTTTGCTTTTAACTTAAGCCAGTTCACACCTACCATACTAAATTCGATATAAAAAATGTTTTTCATTCTTCAAACAGGTGAAGGCCGTTTCTAATTCGGATCTTCTACTACAACGTCTGGTGGACGTGGATCGTGGACGATCTAAAATATTTCCAGACGCCCTGAATGCAGATTAGCCATTTTTTCTACATAAACTTTTGAATAAGCTTTCAGCTCTAACAAACGTCATGCAAACCTAAGCGCAAGCTTTGCTATATCAAAACTGCTATAAGCTGTTCCATAATTACTGATATTCCTCCATATTCGAGAGGAAAATCAACACAGTATAACATTTCGTCGCTGGGGAAATAATTCCGCCAGCGTGATTGATAATGGAATCAATTAATAATTCACTTCACTCGGTTTAATCGAATCTATAGTGGATTTGAATGTGCTTTGAATATACAGCTAATCATTACTACTACAGTATTTATTTGTAGAAATACTTACTTCCACTTTGACTATAGGGTGTTCCATATAAACAATATGAACTCTATAAAAAGTCGCAACATTGTGCTGCTGTATCTTGATGAACAGGAAGCATCCATGTATTCATCCGGTTTCGATGGATGGCCGAGTTCAAACAAAAAGCCATTCATTTCGGCTGGTCGAAGTCCAGATCACCGAGGATTTGATCTGGCAGGAACACATACCATTAATAGCGGCAGCTGCTGGCAAAAAGCTAGGCTATTTGTTTAGGCCTAAGAAGTACTTTTCTTCACATGATATCTTCACTCTGTACAAGGCCCAGATAAGACCGAGCCTCAAGTACTGCTCACATGCTTGGGGTGCTGCCCTGACTACATCATCCATGCTCGATGCTGTTCAGAGGAGGGCCGTCCGACTGATTGTTAACTTTTCGCTAACGGACCGCCATATCAACCAGGTTTGCTCCTCAGAGCTCTCCTCCAACATGTTGCACTAGGGTGTTGAGATTGTAGGAAAATCTGCTTGAAGATTATTTTGCCAGATATAATAAGTAGGTGGTTCAGAAGCCGGATTAATAAGGTTTCTCTATGCCCCTTATACCAGCTGCGGTAATCCGGTATTTAGGCTTCTGTTTACGCGGCTGCTTTGGCTTAAAACATATTCAAGAAATACCGATTTCCAATTCCGGTCTATAGGGACCTGTATTTCGGTATAGCCCCATAGGCCTTTTTGCAACGTGGCAACATGGTCTCTCAACTATCGGTAATTATTTCAATATACCAGACTAATATACACAGCTCGATCATTATTGAAAGCTTTTCATATTCGAGAGGGAAGTAACACCGTATGCGTTTCGTCGGAAAATGAGTCCGCAACCGTGACTCTTGTTCAATTTAATTAATAATTTTGTTCAGTCCATTTAATGTCAATTAACAGGCTATGGATCGATTGTACGTGCATATCAAATTTCTCATTAACGTAAATATGGCTTCAAATATCATGTGAAAACATAGCAACACAATAGTTTATTCAATCTCAATATGTTATAAACCGAAAAATATGCGTACAATTCAAATTACTCCACTACAGTTCTCCCTGGGCCTCTCACCTTTGCATTTCTCTGGTCACTTGGCATAATAAGAGTACAATCAAAGTAGATGGTTTCGATGAATCCAAATGAAGTTCTCATTATCGTTAGTATTTATTACCTCATCATAGGCAGAGGTGTCGCTAACAAATGTCAATAAGCTTCTAAAATAATATATCCAGGCTACGTCGAGGAATAGGCTATTTGACAGTATTGAAAATAAGTTGCGAATTGTGGTGATCCTATTAGATAATAGAATAAGAAAACACATAGTACTTTAATGTACACCTAAATATGTATATTTTTTGGGAAATAATCAAATAAAAATCAGCTATTTTTAAAAATTCGATGGGTCACAGAAACGCCCTGCGATTGGCTGCGACTCTGGTGACGTCACATGCAAGTAAACAAACATCGCGTTGTACGTTTTTGCTGGCTTTCTGTGAGATATTCTATCATAATTCTATTTCGTAAACAGATTTTTATTACTTTCTTGATCAGTCTTTCAACTATTGGCATCATTATTCGTTGTGGACTTCAAAATGGACATAAATTTTGTGCGAGCTGATAACAGCAATCTACCTAAGGTTGACGCATTAATGGTAGCATTTTTCTTCAAAAATAATGCGGACTACTATGCTGCGGAACTCAAACATGTGAAAACAACAACGTAAGTAGTAATAGAAATTATTTATTTATACCTACTAACCTTTATGTATGATCATTAAAAGATTTGTAAAATCAATCTTATTTTAGGTTATGTTGATGTAATGAAAAAAGCTTTCAGTTCAATATGATAATATGGTTCATTATATGGTTTCATGAATAAAACATACTTTCATGTTTTGCTTTTGTTTTACAGGTCTGGAAGGGAGTCCTACGGAGACGATGCAATTGGCTATGTGCAGCTGCACCGGGAGCATGGACTTTGCACACTTAAGTGCAAAATGTGCCCAGAGCACAAAGTGAGATCAAAAGCTTATAATGTGACAATGGTTATCAACGAAAATGAAAGCGAGATAATAAGTTGTCAGTGCCATGACTATGCTGCTTCAGCAGGAGGCTGCAAGCATGCAGTCGCTTTTTTGATGTGGGTACATCGGCGCAGTGAGGAACCTCCATCTACTTCGGTGGGATGTTATTGGAAAAAGCCAACATTGTCAAGAGTAGGGACTACTCTGAAGTACATCACGGTGCAGCAGATGTCGAAAAAGGAAGTACCGCACAGACCAAGTACATCAGCACTTTACACAGACTTTATTTTGGAAGCCAAAAAAAGAAAACTTCAACACTGTGAATTGATAAAATATCAGGACGATTTTAAACACTCAAATGTTATGTGGTATTCGCTGCACTGTTTCATAATGGACCAACCACCAAAAATTCAAGCAGACGTAGACAATCTTGTAGACATAATGAAGACAACATTCAACAGAGCTGCTATCAGTGCAATTGAAGAAGCAACAAGAATGCAGTACAAGAGCAGCTTGTGGTATGAGATGAGGTATGGCCGTATCACAGCTTCAAAGGCACATGAAGTGAGCGTATGTCATACACCTGATGGTTCATTGGTTGCTACTATAATGGGCGCAAAAATACCAGATACTATTGCAATGAAAAGAGGTAGAAGTTTGGAGCTATCTGTCCGGAAGACAGTTAGTACAACATTGAACAAAAAAATCAGATTATGTGGACTTTATGTATGCCAAGACAATCCCATGCTTGCAGCATCTCCTGATGGTTTATTGAAAGATGCCATTGTTGAAATAAAATGCCCTGCCAAAGCAAAAGCTAAGAACAATTATTTAAAAAATGGAATTATTTCAGAGAAATGTAAGGCACAGGTTCAATTACAGATGCATGCAACTGGTATGAAAGAATGTTATTTTTGTGTTGCTGATAGCAACTTTGAAGAAACAAAAAATGTAGATATTATTCTAGTGAAGTACGAAGATAATTATGTCAACAACTTAATAAAAAACTTGTATATTTTTTGGAAAAAAAATATATATCCTATTTTGTATCGTAGCACTAGTCTGTGATTATCAAATAAAAAACTATGCAGTGCATATTTCTTGTTTTATTATTATTTTATTCATGGTTTTACATCATTTATTTCTTTATTTATAGTAGTAGTAGTAGAAGTATTTATTCAGCCAAGTACAAAACACAAAGTTCAAATGGTATGTCACAAAATATTAGATTACATGATAATAATTAAGTATAAAGTATCATAACAGGCAAAAACCCATTATTTAATAAGAGAATCTTGCAAATTTATCAGAGCACATGCAATTATAATGACATGATCAAGTACACGACGTATGTTAGTATTTATCTCTGAATGTTGCTTTAAAATATGAAATTCTCTCAAACGCCTTATTACCCTTTCAATATGAATCCGCAAACTAGCTATTATTTTAGTTTGTCGAACTTCAGTTTTTGACAACTTTGCACCAGCATTTACACTGGGTGGCCTTAATAGTTTTAGTCCCTTTTCATGAAGTATTTGTTCAAGGTGTTTGAAGCCTCTGTCAGCTAAGCAACAGGATCCTTGGGGTAATCCATCTAGAAAGTTACAATTTTCTACTATTGTGGCATCGCTGGTTCTGCCCCCAAACCCATGCGAAACATAATTAACTAAACCATTAGGTGTGCAGGATACTAAATACTTCACAGTATTCCCCTTTTTGTACTCTGACCACGTCAATGACTGATGAAGAGCCTTTGATGGTTTTTTTATATCAATCTCTAAACAATCTATGATGCAACTGACATTATGACAGTTATGTCTAAATGAAATAGGAAGATTTTTTTTACCAATTTTTTATCTATTTTTACAATGAATGGTCTTAAAACACTAGCTATTATTGGTATATTTTGTAGAAACAATTTACTAGCATAAGATAATGATATTCCAAAATTATCCTCCAGTTCAGAAAATGTACTGTTCATTCTAATCTTTTTCAAGCATAGCAAAATTTGTTCTACTTTTATGCTTGTGTGTTTATGTAACAATTTGATTAAGAAATAACATTCTTTTGGAATACCAACATACATCATTGGTTTTTTAGAGATTGAACGCATAGTAATTTTGAGGCACTCTAATTTTTCAATATTCTCATTGGCATCTGTAACATTACTATCAGAGTCGGTAAGCCCTGATGATGATGATGCTGATTTAGTTACAAAAGGTGATAAATGACGACCACTTTCAATACAGGAAATATCACTATCTGACTTTTCATCTTCAAGAAAAACATTTCTCTTGACTACTTTGACAATTTCAGACTGTGATGGTCGAAGACTGCATAGTTTAATCTTAAAGGGCGAAGTGGAACGAGATGTTGTAGAAACTTTCATTGGTGAGGTAGAAATACTTGTAGTCTGGCATCTTGTTTGCACAGATTTGCTCCTATGATGCACATTCTCTTTTATTGTTACTTGCACAGATTTTTCTGCAGTTATGATAGAGTTGGTAATAGTTTCTCTGTCTTGAGTTCTTGATAAACCTGAAAGAACAAAGACTCAAAACTAATGTCTTAATTTCAATGTAAATGATTACGTTAAGGCACTATGAAAAGTTGTCTACTACTTCTTCCATTATCACTGAAGAAAAAGTGCAGTGCTGGATAAGGGGTAGTGAATCACAACATCAACAGCTTGAGAGAAAATTACCCATTACCTGAAGTACAAGTTGAGCATTCTTGATCACCTAGCAAGTAAAATGTCCCACTAAAATGACCTATCACTTTGAATATATCAATTTTAAACCATAAATATTATTCTGTGAAAATCTCAATGTGCTACAAATGTCTTTTTTTTGAAAAATACCCTCAATACCCCTAGGGACAACAGTTACTCACCTTATTCAGTTCTGCCCTTTTTATTCAGAAATAATGGAAGAAGTAGTAGACAAGTTTTTATAATGCCTCAAATAGGTTACAAAAATGTCTATCAGCTCTTAGACTATAATTTATGATAGGACACATGTAATAGATGACATACCTTGAGGTTCAATAATGTCTTGTATCAAACTCTCATCTTTTTGTAAGCTTTCAGCTTGGGCTTCAGTAGCATTTTGACTTTGCAAACATGTGTTGACCAAATCCATTCTTTTCCTCTTGACATATGCTCCTCGAGAAAGTCCAGCATCAGACAGTGGTCTTTTACGATCTTCTTGACAATGAAATTTTGTTGGCACAGCATCTTCTGTCAAAAGTATCTTCTTGCTGAAACCCATTTTGTACTGCATGTAGTTAATGGTGTCTTTTTCCATCTGCAATTCAACATAACTATCACTATCTAATAAGCAAAGTAGGTAAAATGACACAGCATAGAAAATTATTGAGATATGTAGGTAGCTAATATAATCAAAACAACAGAAAACATTTTGAAACCCTACAGAGTAATAAGTTTAGGGTTAATAAACAGGATCTTTGATCCTCAACACTGACTTATCCTCAACATAACCAATACATTTGAGGTTATAGATAGTTATATATATTATTTAAATCTTAAAAGCGGTAATTTAAGCTACCTAGTAGATAACATATTAAATTTATACTTACATCGAAGTGATCTTCACACATAAATACATTTGAAGTCGATGAAATGCCCTTTGGGTCTCTCCGAGCTAATAGTAACCACTTTTTTCGTCTTTTACAATCGGTTGGAACAGAAACAAACAATGTTTGTGGACTATTTATACACGTATTCGTACATTTTGGCACTACACACCATTTATAGACCATTTTATCTATGATTTTATAGCAAAATCAAGCACAATAATGAAATTAACTTCGGCTGACAGCTTGTGATCGTGTTTACTGGCGTGTGACGTCACAGACGTCATCTGCCGGCGCCATCACAGGAATACCGTTTTTGGCGCGGTTCTAAAAATTCAAACTTTAAATTTGATTTCTATTAAAAATAGTATAGATTTTCAGGAAATATTCATGTAGTGTGCTCATTATATATAAAAGAATAATTTAAAATGATTTTGCAAAATTAGTCAAATAGCCTATTGTAGACATGCTGAAACAATTCCACATCCACAGGCTTCCTTTTAGGTAATAAAAAATGTGGAATTGCTTATCAGAAGATGATTTCCTGAGTTATACTATTCCTCGCTTTCGGTCTTGAAAAGCAAGGAAGCACGGCTATATTGCCACGGGAAAAAATTGCATCAAGTAGACAGACTCTGCACTTCCCGCGCAATGCTACTATCAGTTCATTAGCGATTATGTTGGTGCAATTTAGTCCCTCTCAACGAGGTACAGACATGTATAGCAAAAGAATTAAATTGATTAATCAGCCAGACAGACTCATACAATAGTCCAAGCTAAATAGTCACGCATACCACTTGGACTACTAGATATACTCTCTGCGAAAGGTAGGGAAATGTCGAGACTGGAGAGATACCACTGATCAAAATATGTAAATTGACCTAAGCATACCTCAGTGTAAAAGTTGATACTTTGCGAGACACAGGGTGACAAAGTTACAATTTTATTTTCTATTTTTCCTCATTGCTTGAGAAGTATTTCAGATTTTGGCATAAAACCCGATATAGGGAGGTATTCTAGTAAGAGAAACAAGAATCCGTTAATTTTTATGGCTAAGCTTCTAGAGGGCACTACTTACAGCACTATTTCGGTAAATAACATCATAACCTTTTTGTGCTACCCTGTATACAACAACTGACCGAAAAAACTTCTTTTCTCGTATTTCCACAACAAAAACGATTTACGTGTTAGAAGTCTCAAAGTTTATATTTTTCGAGGTATTTGTTTTTAAAAGTTCCAATGCATTATTTGTACCATTAAATGCATATCAGAATATTCATTAAACGTATACTACATGATGTTTAACAACTTATTGTCAACTTAAAATTATTCATGAAGCTCGGAGCATCAAAACTGTTAGACCCCCTGGCGTACTGGGAAACTATAGCCTTCTAATTTCAATCTTTGATATATTTTAAATTGGGGATATTTTTACTATATTTATTTAACAAAACGTTAAATTAATTTCATTAATATGGAAAGAAAATGAGAGTTAAACAAGTAAGGTACCAAAAATTTTATTTTTAAAAATCAAAATTAAAGAAAAATAATCAGTCTAAGGAAAAAAAACATAATTAATAACCAGTTTAGTGTCCTCTAGATCATAGCAGTGCGTTAACACGCCTTGGCATTCCTATTATTCGGTGGTTAATGTTTTCTTGGGGTAAATTATTCCACTCTTCATTTACTGCTGCAGCCAGCTCATTTAGGGGTGTCCTAACTGTTTTCAATGGGGTTCATGTCTGGGCTGTTTGCAGGCCACGGCAATCTCACTATTTGGCCCCTTTCTAGAGCCCGCTGGACCCTTCTCTCGCTCTATGTGGCCTTGCATTATCATCCATAAAAATGAAATTGTTACCGAATTCATTTCGCAAAGGTTGAATAATGGGTTGTATGACATTTTCTTCATAAATTTCTGCAGTCATTGTCCCCTGGATCTGAATTAGAGGACTCCGGTGGTTAAACATTATGCCTCCCCAAAACATTATTGATCCGCCCTGATATGGGACAACTTCTCGAGCCAAATTTAGTCGCTGTTGATGTCCTGGTTCTCTCCAACCCTCATTCTACGGTCATCACTCACCAGTCCAAACCTAACCTCATCTGTAAATACCACATTTCGCCACTGTGGTAAAAGTCACCCCTGATGTTCTGTAGCCCACTGGAGACGAGCAGCAATTTGTCTACGAGTAAGACGTGGAACCCTTAAAGGTCTTCTAAGGCGCAAATTTGCCATTCGCAATCTTCGGACGGTAGAAGTGGAAATAACTCTTCAAAAGGTATTTTGAATATGCGATCTGATAGCTGTACTTGTTGAAAATCTATTCCTTCGGGCAAATAGAGCAATGTAACGATTTTCCCTATCATCTGTTACTCGAGGACGCCCACTGCGTGGTCGATTTTCAATTGAGCCAGTTTCTTGGAATCTTTGAATTGTTCGAATAACCGAACTTCTTCGGATACCCAAATCCAGTGCTATTCGGTGATTTGAAAATCCAGCTTGGAAGAGGGCTACTATTCGTGTTCTATCAAAACCAGAAATTTCAGCTTGCGGCATTTTGAAAGTTACAGTATAAAATTTTATTTTAATACTTTTTGCTCAAACACTACCGTTAAACTGACTTATTTCTATAAAAATCCAAACACATTTTTATCTCAACGGTTTTTTGCGTTTTTTGCTTGCTAAATATATAAAGATTTTTTGTTCACAAATGTAGATAACGTACCTCTAGACGGATTTATACAGGGGTCCAACACTTTTGATGATGTGTGTATTAGCTTTGGACACTACTAACAAGTAAACCTTTTCTGTTATAGGAATATGAGAAAATAAGATTTTACAGTCAGGTGTTGTATACAGGGTAAGCACAAAAAAGTTATAAGTTAGTGCTGTAAGTGGCGCTCTCTGGAAGTTCGGCAATAAAAAATAACGGATTCTTGTTTTTCATATCAGAAAACCTCGCTATACCGAGTTTTATGCCAATATCTGAAATACTTCTCAAGCAATAAGGAAAAATAGAAAATAAAATTGTAACTTTGAGTCGCTAATGAGCACGAAACGGTACTGTCTGCGGTTGGTCATGGTTACAGAAACAGTAAGCAGACATGCCCGTTTCAACTTAAGCATCATTACAGCTTTCATTATTTCATACTCTTTTTGGGGGCAAAAATTCCAGATTTCATCAACAACAAAAGTAAAGAAGAACAAGCCATATAGCATTGCTCGGAACAATAAAAAAACAACCTATGGAAATTGTTTACACCATTTTTGACGCAATGTTGGGCCTCGGGGGCCGTTAGGGTTCTTTTTTAACAAAGCCTGCAAGAAACCGAACCCGAATGTTTTTCCAATCAGATGCGAAGATGCTTGCTGGGCTATGAAATCCCGGTTTTGCGAAAACTTTCTATAATGATTAATCAAATAATTCGTCTTTTGATGCTCAGTTTTTTATTGCAGATGCCATTCAGTATTAGCCATTTGCAGGATGGTTACGATTTCCTTTGGATACTATTCCTTCGCGATCTGTAAAGCGAAAAGGCGGATATCCAATAAAACACAATGGTACTGACAGGTCTGGCTTCAGAGTTTTCTGCATCCCGAGGTAAAGGATAAAATATGCGCTCAAAAAGAAACTTGTAATAAAAATATTTTTATTAAATCAAATATACTCGTAGATGAAGAACCATTATTAGTAGGGCTCTACTCACTAGTACTCATTGCAATCTAATCGTCCCGCCATGCTTTTCTTAGCGGAGACCAAAATATCTGATGCTGGACCGATTTATCACTTAGCTTCCCAAATCAGGAGGTGCACTCCAATCCGAGGAAGAATGGAGGAGTTGTGGCTTTTCTCCGCAGCAGTCTTTCCTGCTCCAAGAACGTTTCTTTGGAATCAGACCGGAAGGACATTTTGTGGCTTCGCCTCACCTCCAAGGCATCCCCCAAATTTATTTGTACCCCGTTATCAAGATCGACTTCATCGACATCAAATACCTAGTTTCAGAGGTAGTTCTGCTAGGTGACTTCAATGCCCATGATGAGCTCTAGTTGGTGACGAGCCCTACTTTCTTCCCTCGACAGTAGGCTGCCACGCATCCTGTCCCTTACAGCACTGTTGCTGGGTAACTCAGACCTCGGTGTTGTGGGGGTCAGGTTTCGGTTAGAACGTACTATGGCAGCAGAAACTCGCTCTGGGCGCAAATTAGAGATGTTTGTTTCAATGACGTTGATGAGTCGACTGTATGTATGTTCATCAATAACCGAAATTATCCATATTTTTGGATGGAGGAAACCATCCCTCATACGGTGAAAGTGTCTAAACCGGGTTTCAACGGCTGGTTCATAAAATTGTGCAAGACTGCTCGTCAGCAGAAGATAAAGGTACACAAAACCTTCTTACAACCCACTCTATACAACAGACTAGCCAACGTCGAGTCCAGAAACAAATACGAGTATAACAAATTGGTCCGCAATGCCAGATACCAGCACGATATAAAAATTAAGCATGGCGAAATGTCATGGCGCAACGGCAGTTGGTCTTTCTAGAGGCTGGCCAAGCAGATGGAAAGGGACTTACTACTCGTCGTTACATCTCAAGGCGGTCCGGAGGACCTTAGCCTTTAGGTCATAGTCACTGTAACGTGAGTGTCTGTCGTCAGTCTGTCATTTCTGGTGGCCCAGAAACCAGACAAGTAGTAGGGACAGGGGAGAAGGAGAATGAAAGGAAGGAAGTAGGAGCGAGAAGAGAAAGAAAAACTCGATATCAACAAAGCTTCTGGTCCGGACTTGATTCCTGACTTTGTATTGAAGAGATGTGCAGCGGAGCTTGCTCCAGTTCTTCAGCGTCTCTTCCAGTACCTTACGACTTCGGTACTTTTCCAGAAAACTGGAAATTTACTCTTATCCATCTTATCCAAACTAAAGGATCTAAGATCGACCCTTACAGCTAGAGTGTCAAACCTACGGAGCAATCGTATGATGAGGTTGTTCCCAGTTCTGCTAACCTCAGACAGTTCAAAAATCGAACTAACAAGGCCTTTTAGAGTAGTTACGGTACCCCGGTACTCAAGTTGATATCTATGAGACTACTCCAGTACAAAACAAAAAAACTAACTGTAGCAGAGTTGTTAATTTTAAACTCAAGAGTGAATGTAATCATCAAGTATCTGCTACAGATTTAAGGGGTACGTTGTATATTTTGAGATGCCCATTAACTATATTAGTTGAAACGGGTAACAGTGCTATTAGAAAGAGCAGTCCTTTATTAGTAAGTCGCCGCATTCAGTTCTTTTGCAAGCAGCGTCTTACAGTGCACGCGGTGTAAACAAATTTAAGAGGAAACTCTAGCCTCACTGCTCAAGTAACTGTAGACTTTTTACGTCAGCGCCACATCAAAATGCTAGAACATCCGTCTTATTCGCCATATTTGGCAATGTGTGACTTT